GGGAACAGGGACACAGGCTTCTCTTGGTGGCCCCCTCTGGAAGAACCAACTTTGGTTATCAGAGCTAACCCGGCTGCTGGTAGCAGTCCCCTGGCCCATTCCATTGAGACGAGATCTCCTCTCTCAAGCAAACGGGACAATACGGCACGCTCGACCCAAACTGTGGGCCCTGCACCTTTGGCCGCTCGACGGGAGCCTACAAGCCTCCCAGAGTGAGTTTTAAACACTATTTAGGAGGCTAGAGCCCCGTCTACAAGACGCCTCTACGCCCTTAAGTGGTCTATTTTCTCCGCTTGGTGCTTAAACCGCGGAGAAGACACATCTACCTCTGACCTATCAGTGGTTTTGTCATTCCTACAAGAGCTGCTGGATAAGGGACGCTCACCATCCACGCTCAAAGTGTATGTAGCAGCTATAGCGGCCTCACATTAGTTTACTTGTCGGCTCTCGGCCCCTGGGGCGCCGAAGTTGTACGAGTACTCTGGAACGATTACCCAGGCTGGGCGTTACCTTGGGGAGTTCAGCCCATTTAAGCCTTGGAGTTCATTGTTTAACTTCCCTATGCGCATTCTTGCTTATGGAGGTTATAATATACAGTCGTTCCTCTACCATAGAACGGCGTGATTTTACTGTGTTCCCATAGCGTCTTTAGCAAGACGCAGTACAAGTGAAGTATCGACATGGAACGTACTCGGTTACTAACGTAACCTCGGTTCCCTGAGATACGGGAACAAGTACTGCGCTGCTAGCCATGCTATGTAGCTGCACGACTCAGTCGTCGCTTCAGTCGAAGTAACCTGAGAATCCTGTGGCGAATGCCCGCTTATATAGCCAGATGACTCCACCCATTCTGGCGGGCTCTGGCGGGCTTTGTCGCCATAGGCTTTAAGCGCCGAATGGCGGCAGGGGAACAGGACCGGGGCTGCTGTGATGCTGAAGCGAAGAAGCAGGTCAGCCGAGCAGAGAGGTCTCAGTCCAGCTGCGAGGCGTGTCAACGGCAAGAAGGCTTTCGGGATTAGCGTTGAGAGTAGAGTCGTTGCTGAAGGAGAAGAAATCTGAGAATCCTGTGGCGAACGTCCGCTTTTATAGCCAGATGGCGCCGCCCATTCTGGCGGGTTTTGTCGCAATTGGTTCGTTTTTTAATGCACTGCACGAACCAATGGCCATGCAGTTTCACTGCGTGATTGAAAAAAGGCTTCAGT